ACCCTCCTGCTTTCTGATCCAGACTTGGAACTGGTAACGGTTGAGGTCAAAGTGTTGGTTTGTTAAATAATGATAATTTCATTGTCTACGCATTACCAACTGTACAGTCAGATGAAACAGATGCTTTCATAATGCGATACTGCTATGAATTATGGAAGTCAGAAACAGGAACAAGCGCTGGCTTTCTACAATCACTCGACTTCACAGTTTACCTTTCTTTCCTTGCTTATGGCTCCTTAAAAAAGTTGTTTAGCTATGACAGTTGGTTAGGTTCGAAACCGCGACATAAAAATTATTTATGAACATGCTATTTTAGGTGAAAAAAATTTGCCGCAAGCGGTAAAATTCAGATCTTCTTCTCAAATTGTTCACCGTTTCAATGGGGCAAGATGACCCCTTGAACGAGAATGACTGGTATTTGAAGTCTGGAAGAACCCGATTAGAATCTCAAAGAAAAACATTGCCTTACCGCAAATTATTTTGAGCAAAAAAATTGCCCAACGTTGATTCCATCGAGAGGGCCAAGAAAGAGAACATATAGCTGACTTGCGAAAAACAGAGATGGTGTGTTGCTCTAGTGTGATCATACCAACTTCTATTATTCAGTCTCATTTGAGCGCCTCCAGTAACTGTAATTTTCCTGAACTCATCAAATGACTGACCAGCTAGTGTGATATTCAGCAAAATGTTTGACCCAGACTGCTGTTCCCTTTGCTTCTGCAGCAGCATTTTGCCTGACACTATGACTGTAATAACTAAGGAATGATTCTATCTATAAGTTCGTTGCTCCTCTTAATACGCCATTTTCGATATGACCAGTTGGAGTGCTTGGCAATAATCGGATGAGTATGATGCATAAGGAAGCATTGGGAGCAAAAGTTAGAGAAGCGTTTTTGATACAAGTACATAAATACCTTAAGAGAAACGAAGCAGTTAGGAAGATCTGTCATTAATCTTCAAGAAAACAAGAAAGCCGGTGAGAAGGAAACTCAAACAGGGATATATCAATTCGAGGCGGCTGTACTATAGTACGTGTCAACATCAAGGTGACCGCAGTCAAGTGTCAGGATCATATCACAGTATGCAACCATACCGTTAACAGATTTTTTTAGTATTATTTTGTATAAACTCTCTGAAGATCCATCAAGCACGATTTAAAATGTCGGAATTAGGTTAAATAAAAATTTTGCTTTTGTAAACGCTTTGAAGTTTTTCCTACTGATGACAACAGCTCAAATAATTAATATGACAGCAAAAGTATTGCTATACAGCAACAGAAATTTTTCTGTAAAATTGTTTAGAATCAATAGTACGGATTTCTCGTATACAATACGTATCTATTTAACGCTAAAGAAATGGAAAATCGCTATAGACAAACGCCTTAATTTGAAAATTTAACTGAGGAAAATATGTACATGGCTTAGGCATAAAAATCATTTACTAGATCATTTCATATTCAGTTCCAAAAACGCTTTTTATCTATGCGTAATATCGACGGTATTGATACAGAATATGATTTTACCAGCATCAACAGTAGAATTTGAATGATCAGTGGCCCTTTTCTACCTCATACGGTGCTTCATCACTTTTAAATTCGTGTAAATTTGATCAATAACATGCGTTTCTCATGAAGTTCTGTCACCTATTTGAAATTTGAATACGCGAGGTCCAGTATTTGAAATGAGAAGTCATAAGAACCAGGGAAAAAGACTGCATGTCCTTCACTGATCTGCAGATCATCTATTTAAATCAATAAAATATTCTCCTGCCAATAGTTCTTGAACAAATTTCCAAAATCGTCAAAATTTGTGCAATTTTGCTTTATTTATGCGCGCAACTAGAATTTCAGGAACGTAATCCGTTTCCGTAAATCTTACCAGATATGGTAATTAAAATACTAGGCAGTCATGAACAATTGCTGCATTTTCAAACAAAAGCTCAAAACTTCGTTAGGTGAATTTTATTGTGCCGCCATTTAAATAACTTCTTGGCGACATGGGTGACAAGGCATCAGTTCATATCCCTTGTCACCGCTGACAAATGAACATTTCGGATTGTATTAATTCTTATATAGCATATATTAATACCATTTACGGCTGTGGAAGCAATGAAAATAGGGTATATCTCATTGGTATCAGTATATGCGATGCGTCGCAAAACAAAATAATTGATGGACGCATAATCCATTCTTCCATATCGCTTTCTTATAGGTAACAATTAAAATTGACCAATTTGGGGTTGAAAGGAACGAACTGAGTGTTTTTATGAGTGTTCCTATAGTTGCTAATAACGCAGTATATGTGTTTGAGGAGATGTGGAAAACTTCCGCAAATTGAACGCTAAAAGCAACTTATGGTACTTTAATAC